CTGGCAGCAGCAAACTCCCCAAACCTAGAACGTACATTTACTTTGAGAAGGAAAAGAAAAAAAGGGGGTGGGTGGGATCCTGTACACAATCACTGCTTCTCAGCGTCTGGGGAAGGTTAAAAATGCCCCCAAGAAAAAGCTTCTGATGTGGCTGCAGAACGTGTGTAAAAATGCTGGAGTTTTTCTAGAGACACAAACCAGGTCCATTAGCTGCCAGCTGTGACGATGGGGAAGGGGGATAAACACCCGACACAGAGGATGTGACATTCATCGACGCAACAGAAAACCAGCAGGAAGAATACTGTAATTCATGTGAGTTTTAAAACTTTATTTCAAATTACCCATGGTTTCCTTTTATATTATCAATGTGCTAGAAGTTCACACTACTGGCAGAATACAGGCAATTTAAAATAAAGTGTACAATAGTCAGACACATTTATATGTAACAGACTTGGAAATTATGGAATGTATTTACAGACGCACAGCATGGGATGAAGCTTTAAAATCCTTTACTCTATTAATTACACGTTTACACTGTTTTCAGAAATAACAAAATTAGATCGCTTTGTAAAACATCACAATATCTACAGAAAAGCATTTTTTTAGCTGTCCAAATTCACCTTAAGAGTCCTCCGTTTCTAAAACATTTTTTCAAAGAACCGTTTATTGTCATAAAAGGGTAAAAATACCATTTGCCATTGTGTCACTAGCAAGAACAACAGGGGTGTTCTCGGCGCTGTAAAAAGTTGTCTCTGGTTTATTTTAAGCAGGCCACCGAGGTCGGGGCCCTTACGAAAGGGGGAAGACCCAAACCCCGGCTGTTTTGCCCCGACCACCGCGCTGCCGTCAGGGACTCCCGAGTGCCCGTGCCGCTTGGCCTCGAGCGCGCAGCCTTGCCGAGCCTCAAACGCCGCTCAGTGCTCGCCACGGTTTGAGGAGGGATGGTGACACAATGGAGTCAGTGTGTGAACACCAGCAAGCACGAAGCACTCGGAGGGATTCCTCCCACACCCTCCAACACAAACGCCCCAGAGAGGAAAGACAATTGCCTCTTTGCTTTAACACACAAAATAGAATTTTATACACGTTTTCTCTACGACATTCTTTTCACGGGATACAACAAAAATTGCACATAAATACACTGAAAAATCCCAACCCATTTTGCAAAAGAGAACTGCAGTTGGTTTTGGTATAATACATTAAATAAACCGTACGATGAAACTTCAGGTTTGGATTTTTGTCCTAAACATCTGGTCAAGATTTAGCGTTTGCCAGCATGAAAACACAGGATTATAAACTAACATGACCGCATACACGGAAACTGCCAGAGTGAACCGTTGCTTAGAACGAAGTACGCGATACTGGGGAGAGAGCGCCTGCCCAGCCACGCAACCATTGCTCTTCGCAGGAACTCAGCTGCCGTGCGTACGCACCGCTCGTACAGAAGAGTAGCTGTGTTCACCAGACACGACGGGAAATAGCCATGTCTCGCAGTCAGGCTCAACTCCCCACCCCATCAACTCCTAAAAACTAGTATTAATGAACGTCAAACTTCCACCAACCTGAATACTGTTAAGTTTCATTTTCCCTAAGCGCTGGAAGCTGGACCGGAGCAAACACCACACCCTCACAATTCCACGTATGGAATGGTTTTCTTGAAACGGGAATATGTAAATAGTCCACAAAGGGTGTGCTATTGAAGAGTTAACGTGCCCCTGTAACAATACAAATGACCTAATGTTGAAAACTAAGATGAAGTCAGTGCCCCCCTCTTTCAAATTATGTGCAGAGACCAACATACACGAAACACTTGTGCTCTGTACTGTTGGCTGCGAGCGGCAGAATCCCCCACTCAGCAGACTACAGCAGAGACCTCAGACACTTTTATGTAATCCTTTAAGAATTACCAACGCTCCTTGCAAGCGAAATTAAGTGAAACGAGACCTACTTAAGGAGGAAAGTACGTCTGTATGGAGCTGCTCTCTTCCTGTGTGCACTGCAAGTTACTGGCGTTTTCGTTGCTTGCAGGGCTCAGGGCAACACGCTTACCCGCTATGAAAAGGTCTCTCTTTTCAGCTGTGCGGTTTCAAGTACCCTTCAGGTGGTGTTCTCCACTTGCAACCTGATCAGCCAGTGCCAATGAGAAGCAGCGGGAATAATTATGTGAAATAAGGGATTCGACAGTCACCACAATGGACCTTGAAAGAAATACATGAAGCAAAACAGAGCGGAAACAAAACTGCAAATCAAAAGGGGAAAAAATCCAGCTAAGAGCAGTCCTCGCCAGTGTTCCCGTGGCAGGTTTACTTCAGCAAAAATGACTTTTAGCTAGCCTGTCCCCATTTCTTCTCCTTCCTTTATCCCCATGAAATCCTCTTGGTGCATTCTGCTTCAAATATATCCCCAGATGCAATACCTCCCATGCCTGAAGTTGGTCTCAGACCCCGTGCACCATGTGTTAGTAGCGTAATGTTCGGGGATGCTTTAAATTGGCCAAAACCTAACAAAGGAACTGCACGGGTGGAGAACTGCATTTTGCAAGGTCTTTTTGGGGGAAAACCCCCCCAACAATTATTGTAACTGATCTGGTAGCGAGCTTGGCCTCATCACTAGGACCAGAGCACGCAGAGCTAGCCTTTGTTTTGCCGGTCAGCTTTCCAGCAAAATGCAAAACTTGTCGGCTGCCTCTCCCATTCCTGTGTATCGAACGCCTATTTTTATGTTAAGGAAGGAGGAAGGAAGTAATGGTAGTTCTGTAAAACCAGTGCATCTCTACATAAATTCCAATGATAAAAGGCTTTATTTATTAAAGCCATGTTAAACCCACAAATAGAAGCCACCTTTTGCAACAGACTGCTGCTTTGGCAATATGCAGCCCACCTATGGAAATCCAGCAATTGTGTTCCTAAAATGATACATTTCTCGGTGGCTGGGCCGTTCACCAGTGCTGGCATGTCTGCGTGGGATGCTTCGGCCCCTAACGCACGTGTTATTTGATAACGGGTTTCTAATGATTAGCACGGCAGGCTGTAATTCTTCACACCCTAGTGAAAATACATACGTGGTTCTTGATGACATCTAGCCATCATTTGACAAAACTACTGAGTAACCGCACGCACCCCTACGTGACCAGAAGGGGAGGTGAGAGGAGGTAGATCTCCCTCCGCTGATGTTGGCAAAATTGTCAGATAAAGACCCGTTAAAACCCAAACAGAAAGTGAACCCAGCAAGCATGCTAATGTGATTAATACAATTTGAACAGTTCTGGTTTAGTATCTTTTACTAAGATGTTTCTTGCGGAGAAAACACGCAGTCTTTTTTCCCTTGGGAAAAAAATTAATCCGTCTTTTTTTCTTTCAAATTTTAAGCAATGAGGACATGCCAACACAAGTTACAGCTGCACGAGGTTCGACCCTGTTATCAAGCACTGCAGGTTAAGATTGTGTGTTGCAATTTTTTTATATATATAGAAGGAGCTGTTGTTCTTTGGAGGCAAAGAAATTCCCTTTCTTTGAACCCTGCGCGGAAGGAAAGAAATTTCATTCCCCATGTGCCCACTGCAGCAACATCCTTTTTTTACAAACGAATTCCCCTAGGGATCGCTTTCCAAACTCTACACCCATGTCTTCAGTCTACAAGGTCAGTTTCTATGGCTGGCAAGCCAGCCACTGGAATTCCCTGCCCTCCTCCCCATCAACTGTATTTTTTTTTTAAATAAGGGGCAAAAATACTGATAATAAAAATGTTATTGGAAACTGTTGCGATCTCCAAAAAAATGGAGAAATGAAGTAAAACATTCCTGTCAGGAATCACGGAAACTCATTTCCTTAGAACAGAGCTCTGTGTGTTTGGATGCACTGCATGGGCAGTAAAGTCTTCACGTCCTTCTGCTTAGCCAAGGTAACCCAAAAGGTCCCGGAGGTCTTTACACAGCAGACAAGTGGTGAAGTTGCTGCTGCTTTGGGGGTGCCAGCTCCAGGAGCGCCTGGACAGTCACAGCTACCTGTGTCAAACCCTTCTCTTCTAAAATATGTAGAGGCAAACATAATTGCTCCTGAATGGGGAACAAAACAAAGACAAAAACAAAATGGATGAAAAACACTCAACTGAAAAGAAAAAAAAATTAAGCAAAAGGTGACTGAAATATGAAATGTTATGGACAGCTAGCACACACACAGGTATGAAATGAAATTTCTGCTTGTGAGTAATGAACCGTGAACATGACTACTCAGAGGAGGCGGCCGTGGGGTAATCCTTGTGTTTATTTATTAGAAAATTGGACAAATAAGAATTTGAAAAAGGACCGTGGGAGAAGTGGGGCAGAGCAAATTGTCCTCTGCCTCTGCCCACACTGAAATGGCAGCAGTTTATGAAACCAGAAGTAGATGAACTTAGGGAGGGGGAAAGCTTTGCCTCAGCATGGTGACCTTGCTACAACACAGAGTAGGAGAGGAACCATGGCTTCCTTTCCAAAACACAACTGCCTTTTTGAGGGAGTCCTCACGTAGCAAGCCCGTTCAGCTGTCAGGCTGGAAGCTGGAAAGACCTGCTTTAAAGCAGAGAGTGAAATACTAGTGTGCGCTACGGAAACACTGTGCAACAAGCCTAAGAGGAAACGTCATACTTAAAAGCAATTCTCATCTCATGGGAGACACTGCCCACCTGAAGTCCTTCTGTCTGTATGGATGTGCTGATCTCTCTCATTACAAAAGTTCCTTGGAAGGCACAAAAACGCAGAAAGCACAAGTTGTTTTATGGAAGAAAAAGGAAAAAAAGACTTGCTTCTATGTATGACTGAAATAACCTTGATCACAAATGTGGAAAATGCCGTTTCTCCTCTTCAGGGCAATGAGAAATCGACAGTGTATTTATAGGCGAGTGTCCATCCTACGTTATGTGCGAGTCACTACCACTTACTTATCTTCCAGAAGTACACCCGCTTAGCAGGTCACCTCCAAGATCATCCTAAGGAGTAAGAGTAATACGCAAAATGCAAAAAGAGGTTTCAAAGTGTTTATTAATAATTGTGCTATTCTCAGTCTAAGATGGATTTAAAGCCTCATCCTACGTAAGTCCTTGACACATCCTGGCCATCCTCTCTCCACAACAGTCAGGATACATGTCCAACAGTTCTCTGTATCTGTAGAAAATAACCAAAGCCTGTCCTTCCTATAGAGCTACAGAGATTATTTTTCACGGGTTATTTCCACAGCAACCTGCATTTCTCCACTCTTTGAATCTTTACTGATTTTTGATGTTAAAGAAATCCTTCAGCATAAACAGTGGCAGCCAACGCTCCTGCCGCAAAGCTCAGAGCGGAGAGAAAACAAATGAACCCAGACTGAAATTCTCACAGTAAGCCATATGATCAGGCTGAAATACATTTTTCTTCCAGCAAATTTATGTTATTTTGAAAACAGTGTGCTTTTTGAGAAAATACTTGTAAACTTGAGCAAATATGCCTTATCTTTCTTCTTATGTAGGCAAATAGATAAGGGGAAAAGCTTTGGAATGACTCCATACCACAGACAGTCACGACAAACAAAATTTAAAAACTGGAAGGCACTGTTAGTGTAAAAACCCTTGCAGCTTTTATCACAGTGTTCATTAGAAGAAGTTAAGAAACAAAGGAACTGAGTTCATTTTAGTTCATACCAGTAAGCAGTGCAAAAATAGCTTATTTAAAAATAAAACAATCTCCCCCGTCAAAGGTCCCCTCTTTCCTCCAAAATGTTTTGCTTGGACAGAACACTGTGTGTGATTTGGAAAGAGGGCGTCAACTCCTCTACTCGCTCCTTTGTGAAATACTCACTTTACGTTACGAGAGCCTGTGAGATCCATGTACACATTTTACTGGTAGCGACCACATTTGCAACTGAACTCCTGTGTATCTTAAACCGCGCTTCAGAGTTGTTGCCAGGTTAACATCGGAATGCTAACGCCACTTAAACCGGGCTCACGAGCCACTGACTGTATTTTCAGATATAACAGAAATTTATTGAAAACACGTGTGGGACAGCCATTTTACTTAACACTTACCTGTCACTGGTCTCTGAGCAGAGTTCCCTGAATCAATCTACACTCTGAGGAGACATGGTCTTTTACACATCACATGGGGAGTGCCCTGAAGTTCTGAGGTGTCCCTGAGACATTAAAGCATTAAAGCACCAGGATGCTTTTCCTGGGGAGGGAAAAGCTTTGAAGCTTTACGGAAGACTACCTGAGTTTTGTAAAACAGTGAAGAGTGATCGTGCAGCCGGGACTTACATTTCTGCAATTGTATGATACAAAGGTTTCTGAAAACGACAGGGTAAGAGGAAGAAGGGAATCAGCATGAAACAAGCACGGGTTGGGGCGCCCACAATCAAGTGGCAACTCGAGAAGTTTTTGTTAAGTTTTATCCAGAGCACAGTAAAATGCTACGACATTCTGTGGCATCTGATAGAATCTTAAAAGATCTTTCCTTCTGTGCCAGAAAACGCTTCTCTCAAAGCTGCTGAAGAGGTCAGTTTTCTGAAAACTTCCTGCTTGATCTGTTACGAAGCTCAAGTAGCTCAGGATTCGCTGACAGTTATTTTAAAAATCCCGACTCAAAGTCATACACCAGAGTCTACAAATACGAGAAGTCAAATGCTCTCAGAAGGGGGAAAAGGGACGGGGGGTAAGAAGAAAAAATATATCCATAACAGTCCTGTGGACAAAACTTACCAGACCATGTCTCCTAAGACTGTGAAATCTAATCAAGAACACTGATGTTGAAAAAAATACTTTGCATTCTTTAACATTTTTCATCAGATAATCCTGAAGCAATTTACCAAAGTGGGTGTAATTCCCATTTTACAGATGGGGAAACTGAGGCACAAACTGACAACGCAGTTTTCCCAGTACTACATCACTCGTCAGCAGACTATAGCATGCACCCTAAGCTCAGTCCCTTGCTCTAGCCCACGGACAGCACTTCCTCCCTTGTAAATGCGTTACATCTGCTAAATATGACACAGCAAATACAAATGTGAATTATGTCACAGATGGTCGCGTGGGTGCACCAATGTGCTTACACATCGCACTTGTCACCTCTGTCCCATCAGTGGGAAAGAAAGCACTTCATAGACACAGTCTTGACAAAAACCAAGCACCGGAGCGATGGAGGGAGGAAGCAGCAACACTATCCTTCAGCTAGAGAAAAAAGACCCAGCGATAGAACATACAGAGCGTTAGCATTAGAGTACAGTAAAACACCACAAAGCCCCAGAGCTGAATGGAAAGGGAGACAAGACTGGATTCTTCTGAATCTGTCCCCAGGGAAAGAAGAGTCTCAACTGTTCTTTTAACGCTGAGGTTTAGCTGAAGAATGTCAGAAGGGGAACAAAGATTGTCCTGTCCAGAGTGTGTGAGCAGGAAGGGAAAACAGACAGAAAAAAAAAGGTCAGTCAGTTAGCCATAGCAACATCCACGAAGCAGTCAGTCATCAGACATCTCAGATATAACTACATGTTCGAGAAGCGTATCACAGCTGGTTAATTCTCACAGAGGAATCTGCAAGACTCCCATTGCAAAGAACTCGCTTAAGCAAATGTTTTGTGTTCAGTGAGGTGCCTGTCACCTGTGCAGCTTAAACACGTAACTATTCTTTGTTGTTAAAAACATAGCAGTTGACACATGCCTTAGTGAAAACCATTTTTCTCCAGGGGAAATGAAGAGGCTACAGGTTTCCGAGATGCTGTTGGCACCGAGTACTCACCAAAGCTGTCTCCACTTGTATCTTAGTTAATGAAAACAGTAGGACAAGGGATTATTTATGTGTAACTGATGCTTGAATGCAGTATCCTGCAGAAATATCTATTACTAATTAGAGTTTAAGTGTTCTGTAACTATTCCCACTGTGTATCTTTTCCCTCCCTTTCACACAGGTAACTGCTGTAAATCAGCGAAATCTAGATGCACGTATCAATCTGTTCAACTGTCGGTTTCTTTTGATGCAAGGGCTTTAACTAGCAAAGTCCGATAGAAACAGCTGCTCCACTGTGGCGCCTGTAATTAACACTTTCTAAAAGTAGCTTTCCTCTTAGAAGGTAAGTATTTCTACATAGATCCATACTTTCAGAAAGCCTTTTATTTTTGTAATTAGAATTTAAATGAAAGGAAATACCTGCAGGCATCTTTTCCAGAAAAATATACTAGGCTGCCACGCCATTCTTGCATACAGATATCGTACGTTCACATCTCAGTAGATATGTAATGTAGACATGTGAGAGCAACTTTAGAGTACAGGTGGGGGTATTTCAGTAAGTTTCCCCAGAGACACCCTCCTTGAACTCTTTCACGTTAAAGCAAGAAATAGGAGAAAAACAGGAGGGTCCTAGACAGTAGGTGTAGCAGATGTAGCAGTCTGGGTCTACAGGGGGCTTTTTCTTGAGCGGCTTTTTTGTTTGGTTGTTTTTAAATGTGGGTCATTTCAGTGATCTGCTCTGTACTGCAATTCCATAAAAATTACATCTTCATATTTGAGGGAGCTATCAATAGGGAAGCTGGGATGGAATTGAACAATTTTGCCCCAGATGAATTTATATTGTGCAGTTCTGCTGGGAGTAAAAGTCTGAAGTTTCTTAGGGGACCAAAACAGTGCAGGATCCTCAAAGTACTAAGGATTACTTACAACTCCCTACCACGTTCCAATGCGATTCACCACTGAGTCATGTGAAGTTGCCAGGCAGCTCAATAAGTATGCTATCCTAAAATCCCAATGGCTCAAACGCCTGCAAGCCAAGCTATCTGAAAACACCAGAAATACCGCATGACTGACTTGAGAACACTGCCTTTAGAAATAGCTGGGAAATGAGTCACTGGATCTACTTTTCCCTTTCACAATACAAAAGAAAGAAAACGGCACCTACAACAGAAACACCAATGCTTAGCAGTGTAAGAAACCAAATCAATTAATGCACTGGAAGAAAAACTAAAAAACCCATGACATACCAAAACTATTTGTACTGAGACAGCTGCTGAATAGGACAAAGTGGAAAGGACAGGACAGCATAAAACAGGGTAACTGGACTCTGATGGACTATTTCATGTGTTCCCACCTCCTAGCTCTTCCACGTTTCAGAAGAGGACAAGGAATACCAGAAGATAGACTTCTACCACTGGTCCATGACAAAACAATTAGGATCTATGCAAAGATAGCTACCATCAGAGAAAGGCCAATAATACTGCGACTCATCGGTAAGACAGTAAAGACGTTCACGTAAGAGAATTATTCTGAAGGAACATGAAAAGCTTTGGGATAAAAATAACACATGCAAAACATCATCCAAATTTTATCCCACTTTTAAGCTGTCAAATACCTAATCTTGAGAAAATGTAATTGTTTTTATAGAAATACCTTGCAATTCTAAAGGCAGACTCGAACTGCATCAGCTATTATGAATTTGAGGCACAGCAGAAAGTAAATCAGACCTCTGATAAACTATATCTGACTTCATTTTGCTCTGGAAGACAATGCAAGGTATGTCTGGTCTATACTGCAAGACATAGGTTATACCTGAACCTTCTAAACTTTTAATCATTTTGTTTTCATCAAGTCTTTCAAAGAAGGTTTTATTTTCTGAAGCATCATACAAAACCGCACCTGAAACATTATATCAGGGTAGCAGAAATACGTACCTGAGGCACTCCAATCCTTCTGCAAGCTTCCAAGAAATTCTCCACGTTTCGTCTGCATTTTGCCATTGTAAGTTTAGGCTGCAAAGTAAAGGAGGCAGACATACAGTGTTCTTAACTGGCAGGATTTTAAGAGATCTTTGGTTTTTATTTAAATAAAACTCTTAATAAATCTCTTTGCCAAAAACATACCGCACTGACATAAGCTTGTCTAATTCAAAGCAGGCTCTGCTGTAGTTTGCTTTTCTTTAGAAAAGCAAGCCCAAATTTCAAAGCTATTTTATGAAAAGCTAATTTATGAATGCTGGATGTTTAAAAAAAAAAAAGACAATTCTAAGCTGTGCAATATTTATATACAAGGTGTTATATAAAACTGGCTAACACTTTTAGTGACTACAGTATGATAATTTTAAAAATATATTTTGAATGAAACACACATGGATGGCTTCCATGCTGTGACTTCAGAGCAATTTCATGATATGAAGCAATCTGGAGTCTGTTCTGGATTACTACAATATAAAAATATATAAATATCAAACCATATTTTAGTTAACAAAGAGATAAAAAAAATGAAGGCTAGATGAAACCAGAAAAGAACGGAAGAAAACGGGAACTGAAGCTTGCTGCTTGTAAGCCTCTTGTAGATGTGTTTGATGTAGCTCTTTGAACTGCACTCCCTGGCATTTTTTTCAAGCGAGCTTTTTTCTACAGTTAGCTTTCACACCTCTGCACAGACATACCACGGCACAGGCTCTGTCTTGTTTCTACTCTTGAAGCTTATTCTCTTCTGGTTAAAGAGACACAAGCTTCCTGCTCCTTTGAACAAGCTACCCGCAGTCTACGTAGCAGCAGGCAGCGGCCTCTGTGGGTTCAGTGCTTTTCCGTAAGTGGTGGGGTTTCTGCTCTGTCCCCTCAATGTGCCGTATTTCCCCACCAGGAAAGCAGGTTAAAGGCTAGCGCTGACTTCTTTCTCCCGAAGGACGAAGGGAATACAAAGATCACATTGTGACTGAGGAATGACATGATGCCTCTTCTGCTCCTGGAGCCGTGCAGCTAAAGGCTGCCTCTTCCTTGGGACTTATATGACAAAGCCATGATTTAATTCCTAACACAGAATATTCAACAGCACATAAAACCAGGCCATTGAAAAGATATTCTCAATGACGCAAGTCTTCTGAATAGCAGCTGTATGCCTTTTCTCTTAATGATTCCACAATCTGCCTAAAACCTTGGCGTGTCCAGTTCAACCGTTCTCAAAATAATGAAGACATCTGCTTGTTCACATCAAGTCCAAGGGAGAGGAACCACAATGATATAGGAGGCAGCCCTGTAAGTGCCAGTTCAGATTCCAACCAACACAAAGAGTGACTCCAAAATAAGGAAAAGCAAACACAACATGCGTGTTTCAACAACTTCCCCCAGGAACAATCGTCAGGTTTTTTTCCTTCTTCATACAATTTAAAGGTGCATAACAAGCAATCTGCCTCTCCATACTACTTTTAAGTAGCTGACCCTAAATATTTTCACTGAACTTTCTGACTTCCAGAAATACAGATTAGGTAAATAGTCTGTTGTTATTTCACAGTTCTTGACCTTTCTCTAATTCTGTGCTTTCCCAAAAAAAAACACAGTAATGCACCCAGAAATATATCATCTTCATTGCTTTCCAGAAACACTGCAGTTAGGCAGGGTAAGAAAAACAACTTCAGAAATTTTCAAACTTCTCTGTGCGCGTCCTTCCTTGCTCTCAACAGTCCCCAGATACAACACCTTTTGTTCCTGTTATCACAAAGGTATGACTGGATTTGTTTTGTTCCAGGAGATGCTGTTCTCCAAGTAGCTCGAGTGTGCTCTGCTAAAATTCCTAAGCAGAGGAATTTGTAGTGCTGTGAAGTGGACACAGGAATCAACTTGGCTTCTCTGCCCGTTTTCACTGTCTTCTGTAGTGGGGTCCTAAATGTTGTAGAGAATGTTGTATTTTCCTACAATCTGTTTTCCTGAACTTCTTGGACCTTTTTATCTTTTGACATATCCTACTTCAGTTCTCATGCTGAACTGTCTCTCATTTCACTAGTTTTCAAGTTAACATAGAGAGGACTTGAAAACATTAACATTTTCTTACAATCTGTGTTAGAAGTAACTTTATTTAAATGAAACAAACCCAAATATAATTTCTTTTAATGAAGCTATAGACCTCTTTTAGACAGAACAGATGGTTATTTTTTGTCACGTACGTTCACAGAGGAGAATCCTGAATTTAGCATTTGTCTGGATTACAGAACTTTGTTGGATGTTATTTTGGACACCTATAAAATACCATCATTATGACATACTTACAACAGCAGGTGAGGGGACATGAATGCTGGGAACAGATCGGGGACGCACATGATTAGCTAAATGACACAGAACAACACCATCGGTGAGAGCTGCTCCAAGATCACTGGGCAACGACACTTTCAACCGTGATTCTATATTCTGTAGAAAAACGAACATGGACACACGAAAAGTAAGAGCAGGTTTCCTCCAACTATTTCGTTCTGCAGAACATTTTATAAGAGGCAGAAGTGCTTCCATCACAACTCTCCATCCTCGTGACACTTCTAAACAGCTTTCTGAGTAACACCAAGGAAGGCTCTGCGCACTACTGTGGCCCAGAGCTGACCACAATCTGGAAGCAGTTAAGTTCAATGATGAAGAGTTTTCATTGTACAGCACAGGGACTAATAGGATCATTATTAAAAAATAATGGAAATTGGGGTCTAAGAGCAGTACTCCTAATCCTACGTATTCTCAGAGAATGGTTCTGCCAAGGGAAGTGAAAATAATTGTCTTCGTGGGTTGGAGAACAACATAGTTACCAAAAGTCATGATAACATTTTTCCCTGTAAAGAAAAACCCAAACTACTTGGCATAAATAGTTTTAAAGAAACAAGGTAGTTAGCATTTGTGTAATGGAATGAATAAAATTTCAAGTCAGGCTTTTAATCTTATTTCAAACACTGTGTGAATTTCACTGAATTGTTATGCTGTATCTAAATTTTTTTTACGTATTAAAACCAAAATATTTAAGCTTACTTGGGAAGCAGAACAAGGGACAGACTACATACAAAGCATTCTGAGGCAACAGAAGAGAGGCTCTGCAAACAGCACCAAGTTTTGTTTTGTTTTATTTAAGGCAACTTTCTCCTTTAAGGGAAAGGAGATTGTCCTTACTTTAAAATTTACAAAGAGAAGGAACTCTCTCTGTCCATCTGGGATGCTTATGGCTTTTAAAATCAGCTTTAACAAGTAGGAATTCTTATTTCTTGAGAAAGCACAAACAATTAATTAGAGCACCCCAAGGAATCCCTTCATGCTCTCCAGAAACAAGTCTGGGGCAAAGCAGAGCAGTACCTTAATGCCATGTGACATTTTCAATATTCACGTGTATTGTCATTGTACCTGGGCACAAACCAGGAGCGCGGTAGCCCTGAACAGGCAAACAGCACAACCATAAGGAATATTTGTACCTCAGGTATTCTGCACTTAACTAAGGATAAGGCAAGAATCAATAGATGGATCCAGAGCACACAAGGAAACCACGCTGTCACCATGACTGGCAGCAGTCTCTGCATTCCATCTGCTTTTCTGTGGGCTTTACAGCAAAGAGGCGTTTTAAAAAAAAGATTAAAAAGACAACAGTAAGGTAACTTTCCAGGGAGTTCCTTACAAGTGTGAAGGCTGATAAGGAAGAAAGCAAGCACATGTTTATTTTGAAAGCAGACATCACTGGACACTCAGAAGCAGGAGTCAGCACGGTATATTTTACAGAATTTGAAGCTGACTTTATCCACCACAAAAACCAAAGCGAACACCATTGCATCCATCTGAAAGAAACACTCAGACTGTACAGTGCCATTTAGTTTTGGTCAACCATTCACCGTATTGGTCCAGTGAAATTGGTCTAAAACAGAAGTACAGATTTAGCAGGATGCACGCAATGCATTTACTAAGATGTCCACATACCGGCTTCTGGCAGTACTTACCTTACGTAGCTGCTCTATTAGCTCCAGCTCCTCCTCTCGCTGTTTGGAGTTTTGTCTTGCTCTAGGGTCTGCAGAATCATTAGCAGGAGACAAGGCACGGGTAGAAGATGAAGTAACAGCTAAAAAAGTAGCACGAAGGAAGGAAAATCACTAAGCACAGTTTGGCCGATTGTCCTTCGCTGCTGTACTACACATGCGCACATACAAGGTTCCAGAATGGGTACAGTGCATTCCTTTTCACAAATCTGTTTCTTTCATTTGATTATTAATCAAGCTAATGACCTAATCTAAATGAGGTGTTCTATAACACATTTTTCTTTCTGTTTAGATTCTGTTCTTTCTGTTGGCTAGTAATCATTCACAAAAGGAGGACAAAGTTTTGCTGGATGAAGTACGTTGAAACAGTTCAGTCTTTCTACAGCAATTGCAATTTTGTTATGTGCTACTGCGCAATGCGAAATTTATGAAGCTGCCTTCATCAGTGGTTGAAGGCTTTTGTGGCATTTCCTTGGTGTAAGCACAGACCAGGAAGAACAAAATCCCACATTTCCACAAACGTGACAAAAGAATATTTGACAGCTCTAAATAAAAGATTGCTTATTCACAAACTGTTTAATGCCATATGTCTACAAATGGAACTCAAAGTAGTTTTGTGATAATGACCTGAAGTAACAGAACAGTGCAAAACCTAGGTAATGCAGATGTTAATATAACGTAGCAAAACTAGCTAACTTCTAAGCTATACAACCTACCTTTGTTTGCTTCATCCCTGACAGCTGCTCGGAAAAGGAAACTCTCAGGTCGCTGGGAAGGGTTTCTATAGGAAGGTGGGGCTGCATGGCCAGGATATGGAGGGGAAAGGTGGACTAAACAAATGTGGAAAGGCACAGGAAAGGAAAGGAGGAAGAAGGAAACGGTTAGAGTTTAAATAGGAAACGGGTTCAGCAATGTGGTAATTAAAAAGAACAAAACAAAAATTTTAATATAATAATGACAAAATAAACTACAGCCATGCATGATAAAAGCGCAGAGCAGGAAAAGGCACTTCCAAGGTCACTTGCATGCAAAGCACATTCCACATACCAATTCCAACAACTGTTCTGACTGTTGCTGAATGCATCTGTGTGCCAAAGCCTGTATGGAGGTCTAAACCAGCCAAACCCTACGCTCTGCCTGAAGACATGCTTCACCCCTGTTGCCTCTTCCCTCGTGTGTTTCTAAGGGGACCCAAATAACTGGGTAAATTCTCAAACACAGCAGTGCCACATACAGAGATGGGAACATATGCTCCCTTCCCTTCATAGTACAAATAAGCAAGCAGGCATTTTGATCTTATTTTTCAGAATTTTTTCTTCCTTTCCCTGTTACCTGTCTGAGTGGTAGGTGAGCCGGGGGAGATGGTAGATCTGTCATCACTCTGTGGACAAAAAAGCAGAAGAGTATAAATGGTCCTAATCTGGAAAAGCTGTGACTACATTTTAATTTGCTGTGCTTTAAAAAAGGCTCCATCCATCTAAATGTGTTTCAGAAAAAAAACAAGAGTGTGAAAAAAACACAGTATGTTGTTCCCCAAGTCTCATCTCTGCAGAAAGTGACAAAGTTTTTTCTTTTGCAGAAATGACACAATTGCTTTTTTTCTGAGGAAAAAGAATGATGAAACAGCACTGACTGTGCAATGACAGATCTTTGTTTACTCTTCCTTCCAACCAAAACTTTCAGCGTTCTTTGCAAAGGGGACACAGAAAAACAGATAATTAAATAACATGCAGAACCTGCATTACAGAAGCACCGATAAGGATACACCTCTTCGACACCTTTGCTAATGCAAAACTGCTCTTTACTGAACACCACTCTCCCCAGGGAAACACACTGTGGTTTTATTACAGTGCTTACACAGACTAATGATTTCTTGTGATGAATGCATTCGGTATAGCAGTTTCCACAGAAGAGAAAGAACTATAGGGTATCTGTATTCAAAAGTAAGCTGTTAAAGAATACAAGAAGAGTACTTCTGATGAACTCAACTTGGTCAAGAGTAAATAATCTTGTACAGAAAAAGCAACTTCAAAGACAACCAAGAACCCCTCGGAGCAGAGACTGGTTACCATGTTTTTATAGCTCAGGCCTCCTGTAGACACAGCCTAAAGCTAAGATGAGGTAATATCTACTACAGTTTAATCAGGTAAATTGGATTCATACCCTACCTGAACTTTTGATTAGAAGCTGACAGACTAACACCTGTTAAAACAGATGTGTGGATCCAAGAGTTTTTTGTTGGTTTTACTGGTGAATGATAATAGCAAGAGATACCTTGACAGGACTGAAAGTAGAGGCATTAGGCAGGGTAGTAGCACAGCTTTCTCGATTCAACCCTGAGAGCGACTGAATGCAGAAAGAAAGAGAAGGCAGTAGCAGTGTTAGCAAACGGCTGATAGGTCATGCACAAAGGTGGAATGCAGTAGACAAGTTAAAAAGGAAGAGGTGATCATGATCACATCCTCAGAAACGCTCAACAGGCAACAGATACATACTTGCTGAACTACAGTTAAAGCCTTCCTACCCTCCTGAACTTTCTGGCTAATAAGCTTGGGAGGTGCGATGTTTCTTTTACACACAGCACAGTGACATCAAAAGCAGAACTGAGAACAATAAGTGAGGTAAAAGCTTCTTTAGTAACACCTAATGTAACACCTATGCCATCAGACAAAAGGAAATTTTACCCTACAACAGTACATTTTGAGCCACTATTCAAAATAAATAGCTTTCTTTTTAACGTTTCAAGTATGTTATGCATTTTTAGTAAGTTATTTTTGTATCAACTTTGTAAAAATCAGAGAAACCCACATCTAACGGGCTCAAGAATACACATGGTATCTGCCACAAACACCTAATGCTGATCCTTGTGAATTACACACAAAGTAAATAAGATTCTGTGGGTGGAATCTAGCTCTCGGGAAAGATGTCAGTGTGAAGATTTACAGTGTTGTCACAAAAAGTGTAGCCAAATTTCAATTATAACCAGTATCAAAACCAACCAAATAAACAACTTTTCATGTTTACAGAACGGGAGCTCCAGCATGCCAATCTGTCACTGACAGGTGGATCTAGAAGGCAAATTCTGTGTCTTATCGAAAGCAAAACCAAAACATTAACATTTGAGGACTGAATGGCTCAAGAATGAAACTATGCTTTCTGAAACAGCATTCAAATAGCAAAGTGGCAGTTCAGCACAGGAAAAGAACACCAAATGACACCTAGAAACTCTACAGATGTGTACAACACACTTGGGAGTGTTAGTATTTAACTGATTCGCAACTATTCTGCCACTTCAGAACAGTACAGCCAGGAAGGACTAGAAGGAGAGGTTATACGCAGGGCAAGCCTTAAATACAAACATCTTTAGGCCCTACGCAGACTTAACTGCTGATCCTCAAGACAGCCTTTTTCTCCACAACAGTGCAGAGCAAAAACCATGGGGTTTTTTTGTTTGTTTGTTTTAAAGAGTTCTAAAATATCACTTGACTTAAGCAAAACATTAGCTAGTATATGAGAACAGTAAAATAAAACAGAAGTAGGTGGTCTGTACCATTAACATGACTGTTTATGCCTGTATGAAAAGAGCAAGACAACCTTAATGCAGACTAACAAGAAGTTGTCACAATTCACGTACCCAGCAGTGGGCGAAGGGAAGGGGAACACGGCACACCACAGGGTAGGACAATCACAACAGCAACACACTGCATGCTCTTCACCTGTTTGCGAGTCCCTGGCCTTCTTTTAATGGTATTGGTGTTATTGTCAATCTCAAACACAAAGAGAGGCTCAAAGCCATTCTGTCAGGGACAGCAAGGAAAGAAAGAGAGGGAAGAAAGGAAGAAGTGAGGCAAAGAACAACCGTAAGAAAAGGTAGCCACAACCAGAATGCTGCAATTCAGACTTACAACACCCTACTGCACATGCTGCACTTGGCCTCTAGGTCAGAGAAACCTCCCTGTGCCAGAAACAACTGTAGATACAGGGTCTGCCAAAGCAGAGCCCAACCAGAACTCTGCACGAACCAAATAAGGATATTTTAAAGGAATTTGATTATTAAACATTTGAATACACAAATGGATGCCAACGGTCTGAGAGAAAACTCCAGGGTACAAGTTAGCATAATTCAAGTCCTGCTTACTTTACCATACCATTATTATTTGTAACACACTGGTGCCTAAAAGCCTTAACTTGAAAAGTTTCAGAGATCCCACGTGCTAAGAGTAACACGATGGCCTCAGGCCATTTTTGAGACCACAACAAGAAAACACAACGCAATGAAGGGAGCACAAGGCAGCAATGAGACAAAGCTTATGAAAAGAAGAGGTCACACCAGCTGCCTGATGCTTATCAAGTATTTCACAGGCTTCACAACAGAGAAATTGAGCAGCAGTTTGAGAGGATGCTTTGGGTTTTTTTTCCTTCCACAGTACTCACCTTGTAAGGGACAGCGTGAGAGAAAACAAGAAGATATTTGGGGAGAAATGAGATTCATAAACAGTAAAGGCTGAAATCATTAGCCAAGTCTGAAGCCCTGATACTATCTCAACAAGTAATCTCAATTGTAACGAATGGGACTACCCTTGTGAGAATAGCAAGCAGGATATGACTTATTAATATAAAACTTTGAGGTATATAGCACATTTTCTCAGAAAGGCCAGTGATTACATTTCTTCAGCAACATTTCAGTTAGTCGGGCTGTTACAAGTCAACAGAAAGAAATCCACCACAGTGTGCAATGAAGTACTACAGCCAAACTCCACTTCACTTCAAATCACAGGTGTCTAGAAGAAACGTACAACTAAACTGAACTATTAACGTTCATAGAAAGTATGGGTAGTCATTTTGTGAGTTCAGACAGACTGTCCTGAAATTGTTTACAAACAGAAGGAAACAGTCAGAATAACCTCTGCAATGTGAATATATTTTAATTTTAATTAGTGATAAAAGACAACAAGGAGAAGACCAAAAGAAACATGATGTAAGGAGATTCACAACTTAAATTTTGGGTTTAAGAAAATTTTTGTTAAAGCAGTAACAATACCAGAAGAGGGAAGTAGTAAAATAAAAGAAAGCTCACTTGCTTTCTAACTACATATTAGACTTATTACTTTTTTAATCTTTTCCTTACATCTGAGCTGAAAACATTGTTTGGAGCAAAAGAAAAGCAACTGCTCAGTTTAGAGAGCTTTGATTAACAAGGGAAATGCTGAACAAAAGATCTTTTACTATACCTCTATGTAATATTCTGTTTTGCTACAAAGTGTTATTCCCACACCATAAAGCTAGAACAATCAGTGGAAAATCTAGCAGAACTTTTTTTTTTTTTTAAACTAACCTATCTGTAAGTTTCAATGTCCAAAAGTTTTGTAAGGTAAAGTTTACACTACTGCATGCAGTCTTTACGCAGAGAGAGAAAAAAAGACAGAGAGGAAACTATGAAAATGGAAAATGTGTACTGAAAACTGCCATTAGCAAATAGAATTTTGATATGAAATACCTCTATACTTTGGTGGAGGAAAAAAACCCATCCTCAGAAATTAGACCTAGCTAAATTTCAAATCCATAAGGACAGGGAAAATGTCAAATGAAATGCAATAGAATATAAAAAAAGTAAAAGTATTTTCAACTCTTATGACAGACTTTCTTTTTTTTAAAGCAAACTAATGAACATTTCCTTGTTGTTGAACAAGTTTTTACCATACAAAATACATTTGTGGACACAAAAATGCTACAAATTCATGAGCTAGCCTGGGCTTAATGTTCCAGTTACAATAATTGCCAGAAACAGCTGCCCTGGCATATGTCATCATCAGACACAGTGTGTATTTCCACTACAAAATTGAGCTGCAGACATACTTCAGCAGTTCAGAAAACCCAGTATTTCATATACTATTATAGTTTAGTGCTGCTGAAAAGAGCAGGGAATCAAAAGAAAAATGACTAGAGAAATGATTGCTTTCAAATCCAGTTCAATCTTCCCCTACCAGCCTGTCCACTTCTTTGTGAAGTGCGAGGATGTAACTTGGTTAAAGATACAAAGGAAACAAACAGTGATGGAAGCCAGTTTCAAAATAATTTCTGAAAATTCCAAGCCATGTAACGTAAAATTCTACATATTAATTTACAAGTGTCATGGGATCACACAATGAAATAGAAATGTGGTCCTTAAAGGTACCTTTAAAATTCCAAAGATGAATTCACTGACAACAGAATATCAACACTTAACCCAAACCACTGCTATTCTCCTGTTTCTTATTAGCTAAATATGAAAGCACATTTTTATATGCTAATTGATTGTAATTTCTCTAAACAGGCACATGCATGATCACAAATAAATCTCTCTCTAATATGAGAAGCTTTCTTCTTCTCCCACACAGTGCTAGTCACGTGAAAGCAGGAAACCCAAAAAGTCTGAATAAAGAGACAGTAAATATCTTGACCAACATGTTCTGGAGAGAGATATTCTGAGAGCACTGCCTAAAGAAAATTTAGGCAGATAATGGAAGCACATGAATTAAGAAAATAAATCCCAGGCATGCAGTCATGCAACAGCAGGCAAATCGGTGTCTTTTTCTTTTATAGACATGGATTATGGCATTAATTATATTCTTTAATTATGCTACATCGCTAAGATGCCATAAAGGAAGAAATAGCATAAAACATGAAGTCAGTATATGAATGTTTTTATTTTTGCTAAGTGTTCAAAATAGATTATTTTTAAGACATCTTCATCGATAAGCAACAAAAAGGTATGAGGAATATTTCATGACTTGTAGCATTCAAATGTAGAGAAGTTTTTCCCTGTGGTATGATATGGTTACCAAGATACTAAGTATTTCTAACCACCATGTGCAGGATGCAAACAAGTTAAAGGCGGCGGCTGTACTCAAAGCATTAGAATTGCTTACTTGACACTGAAGAGCACATCAATTAGGAAGGAAGCTAAACGGAGAAGGAATCAAACCAGAACAACTGGAGGTGAATTTTGAATTTTAGAAGCTGTTCTTTACTATCAGTAATTTTCTTCTGCTCTCAGCAAAAGATAAGCAGTAATTATTCTGTGGAAAAACATCACTATATTATTAACAAATGGCTGACAGTACAAGTATCAACATATTCATGCTATTAAAGTTCACAGCTAAGCCACTTTTCAAAGATGCTCATGTTTTATGCTATTTAGATTAGCTCTAAAATAGTTGGTCTAATCTGAGACAATCATAACGTTGTTATTTCTAGGCTCTAGAATCTGCCACATAAAAAGGCCATTACGTGCAGGATCTTACCACTAACAAGGCACTATCATCAGTATGCTGAGACCTTCTGGATGGAAAGGGACACTGGGAGGTGGGAGAGATGGAGTAATGTCAGAAACACACAGAATGTCAGAAACACACGGTATGTGAACAGACAGAAATTTTGGAACACGTACTGCTTGTTCATAGCATGGTGAGGCTTTTTTTAAAAAAATCCATAAAGTATATGCAACTCTGTAGGAATATGTAGCCACGTGACCCATGAATTGCAGTGTATTCGTATTACCTAAGGAATCAATTGCTTTCTGTGTTGTCTCAAGCAAATACAGACAACTACGTATTCACAGTTCCTACTGTGGTAGAACAAGGACCCTTAAAAAGAATAAGTTAAGAACAGAACGTTAAGAAGGAAAAGGAGCAAAAACTATTTCAATTACCCCATGTAACTCAAAAAAGAGTTAGTTGGAAAATGCTGCTACAGAACTATTTATATTTATTATATCATTAAAAGTTTTGATCTGATTAACACTGCCAAGTGATTTCTCTTCCCCTGGGGGAAAGTGGGGATGGCAAGCAGTGGAAGAGCCATTACTATGCAGAAACCTGATGCAGAGAGCAGATGTCATTGGCTCAGCTCTGTATATTCTAGAAGACTGAGCCTTGTATGATTTGTGTTCCCTACTGACTTACTGTTTTTGATTATAAAACTACACTAGAATAAAACTTTTTAAAAATTTATTTCTTTTTCTGATAGCCCTCAAAATTCTAATGCTTAATCTTTCTGGGATAACTGGTGATCTAATGATAGGAAACTGGGAGAAAACTGATCAATGAAGGATGACTGCAACACAATAACTTGTCTGAATACTCCTGTTAGAAAGTGAACTGTACTGCTCGCAAGGAGCATCTTAAAATGGAATGTGAAAAGTATTTTCTCTATAGAACATAGGAAACATACAAGAAAAAACCCACACTCGGACAGGCAATCTACATGAACAGAAGGAAATACTAGACTGGTCCCATAAGCAAAAAAAACCCCAACCCAAGGCTTAATAACAAGTGTGAAAAAACTATGCTATAACCCAGTCCTGAAGAGTTCTCCATAATCAGGAAAATATCTCTGATGGAGAGCGCTAAGAATTCAGGTGCTGACATCCCTAGTAATACTCTTATTGGACTCTTACCTCACTATCCAGAGGACTTTGCTTCTGAGGACTTAAGGATGCTTTTTGCTGTAGAGAAAAAGGAAAAATGAAAGACCAATTTAAAAGAACGTGACAGAGAAACAAAAGCTCAGAACAAACCAGCATAATTTAGAAGTATTTTAAAACACAAGAAGTTTTAGTTTTTAAATAAAACATGCATTGGGGAAATTTCAAGTTTCCACTGAGCTGAAACTTCACTGATATTACTAGTAAAAAACCAGCCTTTATTCCATACAAAAACAAAAAACCCAAATCGTTTTTGCGTATTAAAGATGCATAATAAACCCAAAATATAACCCAGGGGAGGAATTTAATTGCTGAGAATAAAGCCCTCATGAATAACAAAAGCAACAGAAGAAAAACAAAACCCCCAAAAAACCTAAACGGCTCATCAATGAACCAAATGCCTCCTAAACATCTAAAGTCTTTAACTGAAAGACAGAGCTGAATCTTTAATAAAAGCAGCTTTTCTACAAAACATTGCCAGGGGCCCGAGATTAGTTGGTGCTAATGAAAAGCCTACTTTCAGGCAGCTAAAAACCTTTTTCTAAACTAACTTTATACATTACATAAATGCAATATAACATTCTTTTCCTCTCTGCAGACCACCCTAAGCCCAAAATATTAACTATAACATTTATTAAATTTGTGTTGGTGAGATTTGGGTAGGTCACCAGAGCAGTAAACGGTAAAATAAATTTAAGACAGCTAGCATATAAACAAGTTTGCATGTTAAGCAGCAGTACTTCATACCGACTGCAGTGAAAAAGAAAGTGAAGACGCAGTGTCCACAGAGTATCTGATGCACCATAAATTTGCACCCATGCTTTACCTGGAGGTAATTTATTTATAAAATCATAAAATCATCATAAAATACCAAAATAGATCAGGCAACATTATCTTCTTGTGTGTATGTTTGATTTCTTCTCTGCCAAATTTGTCTTCAAAATTAAATTGCCTCTACGCCTTCACAAATAAAGACCCCTTCTTTCTTATACCAATCCTGTCACATCTATACAAATGAAAAATTGAGAGAATGAGGCAGACTATGTAAAAACACAATTCTTTTCAACAATCATATTTTGGGTAAATCTCTTCTGTATTTGTCCCCAGTTCTAGTTTTCTCTATGTTAAGCTACAGCACCAACATTGAATGGAATTAAATGCTATTTCTCCATTTTCTTTATAAAGTGCCATGCATGCCCAAGAGTGCAACATACAAGTATTAATGACCTTGGTAATTAATTTTCATTACAGGATTGAGAAACAATAAAGTGTTGAATAGGTACTAAAAGGAGGTACCTTAACAAAGTCAAGGACAGCTTCTCTCTGGATCTGTTTTGTTCTCATCCTCTCCTCCTCGTACTGAAGCGCTGCTAGCTGGGCCTCCCGACGGGTACGCTCTATGTGTCTGCGGTGCAGCTCGGGATCTGTATTAGGCACCTGGAAAAAAACAGTGCACCAGGCTGTAAAGGCAGAGCTACACAGGGTAAAACAGATGGGTTATGGAGAAACAGTCCATGTCTTACAGCTAACCTAAGTTTGGTTTTGCATCAAACTCATCCAAAAGAATAAAATAGTAGAGTTCAGTGTGTTACCTGACTGTGGTGACTTGATAGAGAGAGGAAGTAAGGTGAATCAGCCAGGGGTCTGACAAATGGAAAAACAGAGAGTAAGTATACTTTTAATCTTAAATATAAACAAATTTTCATACATGCGTTGTCAGTGACACACAAGTATCTCATCAAATCAGAAGAGTAACTGCTTAGTAAGCAAAGCTGTTAAACCAACTGCTGCGATAACGATTTAACTCATTGCACGTGACAGATTTTGTGCAGTCATTTCTATCTCTTCTCCTGAATTGTAATAAAATTTTTCTACAGCTCAAGATGTACCAATGGGATTGTACATTTGGCCTATTACATGGAGATACCCAGTACTTTATACCCATTCTCTAAGAGTTGGTTAAGTAACCAATCCAGGAACTTTTCAGATGATCCTCATTTAGAGGAGCAACTGGCTACCTTGGTTATTTAGGGAGGGGGAACAAAAAAAAATAATTAATCAGTAGAAACTATATGTTTCTTTTCCCTACCTCTCTGTCCTGTCCACATAACTCCTTAGTACTTGGTGACGCTCTCTGTCCTGCATCAAATTTAGAGTTTCAGGTCTTCGTAATTCATCAGTATCCCTGCGGGTAAACACCAGGTGGAAAAGGGATTGGCCACTGATGCATATAAACTACTGTCAGACGAATTCTTCTCTAGATTACAGCTGTTTTTTTAAGAGTAATTGCCTAGACAATTAGCTTCAGATAACCACAAAGGTAAAATTTAGGATGACTTGATATCACAACGTGATTTCTTTAGTCAGATCATAACTACTGCTGTTCATAATCAAATAACTGTAACTTAACAATGGTTTCAAAATACACAAAGACGGACTCTCTCTCTTAGGACTATGTTCTGGTTATTGTGGCTCTTATTCTGCTCTGGAAAGAACAGAATTATTTTTAAACATCCTCTGATATTTTCAGAACAAATCTGCTCACTTCAGCAATCAAGTGATGACTTTCTGTCAGTGATACAAGCCATCAAAGTCAGAAATAACCAATCTGTCTCTTATCCATCATATCAACAATAAAAGAGAAATTTTGCAGTCAGTTCTTTGCTAGAAGGCAGCTGCTAGCACTTCCCAAGGTCTACAGTCTACAGCATGTTCCCTGCCATGTTGCTTCCTAGAAAGAAAGTTAATGGAAACTGAGTAGCTTACTCTTGACAGCCTGGACTCTGCAACCTTCACTCCTGGGGCAACTATGGAATAGAGAGACACTTTCCAATGCGCTTCCAAAAAATGTTTAGTCATGCTGCCTGTGTGTAGACTTATTACCTATTCTGCACGGAGACACTTAGGAGATGTGGAAGACCCATATGCTACAGGTCTCCCCTGTTACTTGAATTAGCACTGATGCACATGACAAATCCATGACTGTGCTGTTTTGAACAGACAGGACTGGGTTCAACTGAGTGCCAAGAAGTGTATTCAGACCAGAGTACACACAGCTTTGTTGCATCAGGAATGCACCACAGCCTGTCCAGAGGCACAAACTGTATTTACTGAATTCAATCAAGTAATGTAAGTACTCTTGAGATGAACTCTGCATTACATCCAACTCCAAGAGTTTTAATGGCTCCAGTATGCTGAAGAAGAAAAACAACAGAGGCTGCCTGCCAAGGCATTTGCACAGAATTATTGTGGAAGCATTTTACAGCTTGGGGTTGCCACAAGTGAAATATTTGACTAATACAAGCTTAAAATACAAAAAATTACTCATTGTCATATGGCTATTTTTCCACAATTTTGAAGGCAACAACAACAATATGACCTGTTTTTAGTGCCTCATTAAGAATTTCACTCTGCTGCGGCATAATATGAATAAGCTACAATTCATTTAGATCGTTGATTAACTACTTCCGCATGAAGATCCACTGCCATCCTTAAGTTAAATTTTGAGAGCATTGGATGCAATTTCCTTTATCATTAAAATCTGTCTGTGTAAACAGTAGCTCTCTCCTGGCTAACTAGCCTTCTCTTGTCTTATTTCCTTCAGATATACTATGGAATCCAGTGTTTGTAAAGTCAAACTATTTCCATGTTGACCACAAATATTCAAATAGAAAAACAAACAAAAAAATCAGTCTTTCAAACCATGAGCACTCACTTTATTTGGGGAGAACACGTCAGACTGCTGTATTATTTTATGCCTTACCTGTAGACCCTACAGGATAAAGAATGCTGATATATGCTAAAGGAGTTACCCTCCTTTATATCAGTACAGCTACTGTATCTGCACATTTACAAATGCCTATTAAAATGTTGCTATAACTCTGGAAAAATTTACACACTATTCTTGATTTCATTTTCTCTTTCAACACCATTTTAGAATGCCATTAAAAATTAATTTCTACTGACAGTGTAAGTAATGACATACTTATGGCTAGCACTTTTTTTTTTTTTTTTTTTTTTTTTACATTTCTAGTACAGTTGAGCTCGTTTTCCAGTGAGTCCTTGCACATTCACTTTCACTCCACAGAATACTGGAATGCTTCAATAGCATATTAAAGGTTCTATCAATTTTGATTTTAGTTCCATTAGCAAGAAGCTATACATTGCTTATCTTCCGTTCTTTTACCCAGACACCCAAAAATCTCTTTTCAGACCTAACCACCTCATTTATATTCTGTCCAACTCTGACCCATATTTTATGGATAAGCATTCCCTCCAATAAGCCAAGCAATCATTAAAGAGTATGCATGTAATTAAAAAAGTCTACTTTGTTCAACTAAGCAACCTGTTTTCAGCATTGATGCCTACTCTATCCCTTCTTCCTGTGATGTAAGCTCATGATTATGGCACAGAAAAGCACATTTTAAATTAAATTAAACCTGCACAGTACTACAGGTACCAAGAGTCCACCAAGAATGTGACCTCCTAGCACATCAGATACTCCACAGTAACTCTCTTTATGCTTCCCCTAAACCTGCAGTACATTTATCCCTTCTGTCCTTTCTGTAATATAGCTTAAGTAAACTATTTAATCAAAGCACAAATTAAATAATGAAAAGCAGATATTAAATCAGTTTAAAAGTATACACTTTAATAATTTGGCAGATTTCTTTAACCAACCGATTTAAAGCCAAGCCTTTTGGTCACTGCCATTATTAGAATGCAAATTCCTAATCTGGCGCAGTAACTTACATAAAGTGCCATGCACATTTCTGGTGAAGCAACAGAAAATAATGTCATTTTCTAAACACATTCAGTAAATATGCGCTTTGCATTCATCATGAAACTTTGGATAAAGTTACTGTTACCACATATTCTTACCTGTTCTGATGTAAATATCGTCTTGTATCCTCTGTTCTCTGAAATTCTCTGATGGATACAGGCTTTGCTGGTGAGCCCTAAGCAAAATAACACAGAAGACTGTTAGCAACTTGTTCAGAATACTGTACATCAATGTCAAAGAATCTCTTTGTAGAGCAACATTTGTAACTACTGGTATTCAAAATACCTGACAGAGAACCACAAAAGACAACTCAGGGATGTTAATTTCCAACTAGGCAAGCTCACTTTTATTTTTTCCCACGATTTAAAGAAACTTTAGTTTCAACATTAAATACGCCTACTGATAAATTTAAGAGTTTAAAAACCTCCATTATTAAGAATCATGCAGAGAAGTAAATGTAGGTAAAAGATAATTAATGTCACATAGAAGAAATGTAGAGTTAAGCTCCGAAGAATGTATATACAAGTGTACAGCAATGTAGTCTGGACTCTCAGAAATACAGGATACAATAGCTGAAGCTCTCTTATGATGCCCTAAAGACAGGTCACAGAGAGACTAAGAAAGGAACACATGGGATGAATAAGAACACCTTAGGCTTAATTTGAGCTATGAAATAATTTATCCCATTGGGAACAGAGACATATTGACCTTGGTGTTATTTTAAAACTTTTACTGATACCCATTAATGTAGGAAGATGGAAACTTTTCAAGATTAACTTGCCATACTGTATGTATGTTGCTATACTGCATACAGTTAGCCTTCCTAAGTAGTAGAATATTTTGGATTACCTCTTTAGAGAAACTACTGCTTCAGTTAAAAGCAAACAGTTTAATTTTTATGAATAGATAGATCCATATGAATAGCTTTTTTGATGTTGATCAATGTCTTTTCACTATTTACAGCAAAGAGTCCTTGGGTTGTACTGCCAATAGTTGCCTTTTCTGAGTTTTGCTCTTGTGTCTATGCTTCAAGTGGCATCAGCTATTGTGATTTGATATTGAATTTATGAGATTTGCAAAATGAATGCACCTTTCAGATATCTGTGTCACTGATTTTAAACACAGTAAACAGTAATATAAAGTGGACAAAATAGGGACCAGGCTTCTACATGGATACTAAAGATCCACATTTTTTTTTTCTTTCTTCAAAAAGCAAATATCTTTCTGCTTCAAAACTCACAAAACTTTGAAAGGACACTTGAATTGTAGCACAATAGGTACCGTTTAAGCATATCAACCACAAAGATTTTCTCAGACAGGTTATTCATGTAGTATGTACAGTGAGCCACTGAACTGTGTAGCTGTGTACATAGGTATTAATTAAGACTGATAGAACACAGAAGAAAACATTATGTGGCTGAAAATCTGCTTCTATAGGTTCGATTTTTGAGGACACTTTCCAGAAGTGTACCGTCCAAACGACTTAACAGGTAACAGTTTTCTCCATGTGTTCACAGCAGTGGCTGCTACAACTGGAACAAAGGCATCTTCCAGTTTTGGCCATTCATACAATTTCAAAGCAGCTCCAGTTGCACACTAATCCTTGTGCAGCTAGAAAGCAATGAAATGACACGAGCTAAAGAAAAGTGACAGTACCTTTACTGGAATCATTGCCCTTGTCTGCGCCAGGACATCATTTGGATACAGTAAGCAATCAATTAAAGGAGCTATTACCTGCATAGTATATTCTGAATGCTGTCAAAAAATAGGTGAAAACAAACTTCATCCATAAGTTGCAGGGAAATGGGTGCACACATCCTGACTCTCAGGAATTACATTGCAGTTACTGTTACTGAGATTTCTAAAATGCAGCATTCCAGTGCAAGTATTACATACCAGCTCAAACAAAGATACTCAAGAACAAAAATGAAAAAGATACTGTTTAGACTTGTTGGGAAAAAAGAAGAAAGGCGCGTTTGCTCCCCCCTTCCCCCCCCCTTTTTTTCTGTGAGAGGAGAAAACAGGGCAATGTCCAAAGCTACTCACGTCTGTTTCTAGACATTTGTAAAAAGCTGCCTGGAGAACTTTCTAACCTGTCTAACCTTACTTATTGTTCATTTAACTGTATACTTTTACTGACTGAGAACGGTTTCATGTCAGGTTTATCTGAAACTACAGACGATGTTTTTTTGTTCAGAAAGGACTATATGGACTATATACATATCCAAGTCTGTACCTGTGGGTTCAAGCCTTGCTCAACAGTAAGAGAAAGAAATTGTTTGCTGCAAATAGTAGGCTTTCTGAAAAGTCTGAATATTTAAGTTAGTCTAAACTTGAAATGGATGCTCAAGACAGTGAGTTTCCTGGCAAATAACTTATAATCAACATGAACAGATGAATTCATGGAGTTGCAAAATTCCTGTACTAAATCTTTATGCTGATAACAATCAACATTTTTCCCTTGAGAAAGCTGGTATATATTCAGTACTACCAAGTAAAGGTTAACAATTTTCTAGATATCACCAATTACCAGTTGGAAGCATCAACTTCAGTGTTTTCTGAAAAGAGCACTCCTTTGGAAAAACCACTTACTTCACACATGCCTAAAGCACAAGCTTGCAAGAACCCACACGATAGGAAAACAGTGTGGCTGTCTTAAACTTATTCTACATATCCCAAAGGGCACTTGGGAGCAGCTTAACACTCCAGCTCTGACCCTCCACAAAGCACAACACTGTGCTCTTCCCCCAGATCAGACTTTTTTTTTTTTTAAACAAAGAAAACCTCTGAGGACAAGAAGCATTAATACCATCACAAAGGCTTTCCTGGGGCATATAAATTTATCTAATTTAATTAAAAGCACCACCTCATTAGAGATTCGCCGCTGGTCAATATATGCCATGAATTGTGAGCTGAGGCTGTCTGACTCCATGCACTTGGGTTGCCTCACCTCTTCCTCCTCCTCTTCTGTGGCACAGCTATCGATATAGTCGATCTGATCGAGATCATGTTCCACTTGACATACATACACAAAGAAAACACCCATAATTAGATAATCAACAGAAGAGGAAAAAAACAACCCAAAAGCATTGTCAGGAACTGAGGCCCTAACTGTTTTTCTTCTGTCTGGGAAAGCTCAGCCTGAAAGCTCTTGTATTTTGCCTAGCCCACTAATATTTGTTAAACATCAGCTTTTGAAATAATGATAAAAGTAATACTTTTTACAAAGCAATGAGAAACATGTATCAAGCACATAGTTTTAAATTGCTGGCTGCAGATACTTTTGCAGTGACTGAAAAATTAAAGTAAATACTGTGATTTTTTTTTCCAATACCCAAAGCTATAACTCAAAATCTATCAACTAACACCAAGACTGTACAATGATTTGTGTACATTTTGCATCATTTCTCTTGGTTCTAATTAATCTCTGTCAGAAAAATTAGAATGGACATGACATACTTCTACTATTTTTACTACTACAACTACAAAACAGAGGGTAACATGTCCAAGTTATCTGGATGCAAATGCAATAAATATAAAAAGTGTATGTGGAAATAACGAAGGATAGTACAGAAAGCAACAAACCCCCTCTAAAACAATAAAAAAGCATCTACAGTTTTATTTTAAAAAGAGAAATGTAAAAAGAAATTAGGAACCACTGAAATGAGAGCAAGAAACAGCACAGTTCAGCCAGTATTGATTTTCCCTTGTGTGGGTGATATTATGTAGGGCAATTTTTTCACTTGTCACTGCTTTTATACATTCTGCCCAGGATTCTGAGATTCATGACACTGAGCAAACTACGCTGGTGAAAAATACTGTGCTGGGGATGCAGGGGAAAGCATAAGCTCCCTTTCTGAGCACCAGAGCTTTCTTTTTCTTAAAACTCCCCCAAACTTGCTCCAGACTCTCTTGCAGACATTCTTTTTCTACTCCCCCGCCCCTTTCCTGCTTGTCTAAAACAGACTTCTCTTTGCCTCACCACACAATCTAGCAACTGTTACTGCCAAAGCCACCTCCTCTGCTACTACAACCATCCAAAACAGCATTCCTATATACTTTGGCTTCATTAAATCTCCATCTCAGTTTCAAATCTTAAAAAAAACCCAAGACAAACCAAAACAAAACCACCCTTCTTTCCAGCCTTGCTTATTAAACTTTAATAAATAATAATAATAATACAGTAGAGGGTGAAAGACATTAGTATCTGTGTTAGGAACACAAAATTGGAAAGGATCTCCTGGATCACAGACAGCCACATGCTATAGCTTGTGCCCCCCTCAGACACTCTTACTCGTGAACTGACCGTGCTCCATCTTAAAAGACTAGTGAGGCATACAAAACCCAAAGAACAAAATAAAGTTAGTTTTAGAGGCAGAGCTGGCAGCACTACCTGTTATTAAGGCTGCTCACAGCTTCCCATAACACCATGTCTGCAATTCTTCTAACTTTGCCAGAATTTAACTGTTTGAACTGAATTTTTTGTCCATTAATGTGTAAAAGTGAGTCAATCAAAAAGTTTCAGATATTTCTAGAAGGTGGCAAAGAAAACAAAATATTGTGGCAGAGAAGAAAAAGACCAAGAAAAGAAGATGGCAAAAGATGAAGAGGGGGATGAGGAGGGAAGGAGGAGGGAAGAAGGAAGAAAAAGTGGGAGCTGGGCATGGAAGATTAAAACTAGCTGGTAAGAGTGAGACTCAGATAGGGAATATAAACTGGAGCCTGTTAGGGGAAATGGAAAACACGGAGCAGCTGAGAAAGAAGAAAAATTAATCAAAGTATATGGGGATGAGATCTAATAATCAGTAGTGCAAAAAAATGGAGAAGAGGGAATGACTGAAAAAAACCAAATCTGGAAGAATGCTAGAATTGGGACATATAAACAAGAGGAGGACTGAACTCTGAGCCAGTGATAGCAGCAGATTATTGCAAGTTAAAATTGAGAAGGACTGCAGAGATCAAGAAACATGGGAAGTGCTATCACCTCTTGAAGAAATATGAGGGTGCTACTGCGAGACTGCAGGACAACAAACTGAGAAGGTGCAAAAAAGCAATGTCACTCACAAATACCTGTCCCTCCTAGATGGCTTGCATGTTTGGATTACAACCCAAGACTGCTGAACGAGGCACTTTTGTCAGGGAATTTTGTATTTCCAAGTAGCAAAATTGCTCATCCCATTCCGACAGCAGTCGGCAAGAGCACTGACAGTTTACTACTGCTGTAAATTTTCCCCAGTAGCTCAAGCAGCAAAACTCCATGCACCAAAATTCAAGACTCCAAAATACTGGTTGAAGCATTTGGAGACTTTAACATAGCACATACGCAGAAGCTGACAATGTTTCCCAGATAATCCTAATTCTGATGCTATTTGATTTTGCCTTGTAACATCCTTAATACAAAAGTATTTTTACACTGTTTACACAACTGTGGTTTTGTGTAATTCCACCTAGACTTTTCTCTTTTCCTTCTTTAGACAACCTACTAATTACAGCAAATATTCTGGAACTTTAATAACAATGACAATAAATATTGTTAGGCAAAGATCACTATTTACCTCCACCATTTGTTACGACCGTGCTCCCTCGGTTTTCTTGATACTGACTTTCTCTTCGCAGTCTCTGTTCTTTAGTGATCTCTGCCACACGTAAAGGGAGATCTGAGAACTCATCTGTTGGCTTTAGAAAACAAACAGTGAAGTCAAGAAACACTTTTCCTTGGAAACATCATCTTGTAAGCTACTACCTCTTGATTTGTGTTTTTACTTCAACTGTCCTGTTTTGCACCTACAAAACACTAACTTAAAGCAAAATACAGCTATAGAGTATTGTTTTTAAAAAACATGTATTTAAGCTTTCTTAAAAAAACAGCTTGCCTACAGTTTCGTTTGCAGTATCTGCAAGTGCCTGAAAACATCCCAGGATAGAAACTCCTAGAACCCTCTCAAAAACCAAGCTAGGAGTGCAAGCAGGTGTATGGAGTATAGCTCACTGAAACACTTTAGGTCTTGGCTACTGCCTTTTCTAGTTGTCCCAAGAGGAAAAGGGAGCTTCTTCCTTGGAAGGATAATTGACAGTCTCCTTGCTAAGAGATCCCATTTTCCTGCTTCTAAATGGCAAACAGATTTTATTTTTAACATTTGAAACAACCTGCAAAGAAAGAAGATGAAATTTCCATCTCATTTTTGAAGCTTAATTTTCATGTTCAGATTTATATTATTCAAACAACTACTCGTGAGTAACTGTAGTTAACACTGTAATGATACAGTTATAAGCTTTTTTTACAATGAGGAACCCCCTTTTTCTCATCTTTTATGCTCCAGTAAATTCTTTTGTCATGCACTGTTTTATACATTTCTCTTATTATTTCCAACTTTGTGTCCATCCCATATAAAATTATGCTTGTTTTTCTCCAATAAAACAACAAATAATTTTGGCTCAAGGCAACCCGCACACTAGCATATATACCTCTGACCTATTGAGTACGCTTCCAGATGTATACTTATTACTTCTCTTTTCTGTACAATACTGCACTCAACAAAAATAAAGCTGCAACACTTACTTCATTCCCTGACCATCTTTTGTCTCCGCTGTCCACACTATTGAAGCCAGAATCAAGTGCTCCATACGGCCGGCCAGCATAGAGTTCCTCATGGCTGTCAAACACACAGTTTTAGTTACTGGAATATAAACACCACCAAAAGCTTCTCAGCTATTACAGAAAAAAAGCAGAATAAGCTACCAAGCACAGTTGCAGCGCGTTCACAAGCTCAGCATATTAGAAAGCGTCGTACTGCATTTGCCACATAGGACAAGAGGCACGTGCTTACAACTACAAACATACTCGTCAGTCAGCTGTCCACCTGCCACTGCCTAGTGTTTTAAGAGCTAAACTGATCCAAAGTACATATCCATACTTCAAACATTTCCCACGCTGAAATTATAACAAAGACAACTGCGAAGTGGTCTCTTATTTCACTGTTTAACAAGTCAAACTTTCATTTTCCACTACTCTCATGTTTTGGCTGAAAAACACTGTCCCACAAACTTTCATAAGTAAGCATAAACCCATGCAAAATTACTGAATATACAGGTATATCAGAATATACTTCTACACAAAAGTACACAGAACATATTACATAACTATCTTCTGTATCATAATTACCTACTTAAGAAACTGTGCAGTAAGCTGGACAGTATTTCAAATACTTCGTAATACAATAAATATAAAAGTACAGTTTTCATTGACAAAGCCTAACTTTGTCAATGACATGTCTAGACAAAGGCATTAGACATGTGCCAGTGTTACAATACACATATCCAAGCAGCCATACAGTTCTCTCAATTTCTGGGCTCAGAAACTATGTAATTCAGCAGTACAGCCATCACAGATGTCAAGTCTGGCAACTGCTGCAGATAGCTACAGTAAAAGAGACAATGGGACTTGTCTGATCCACTGCAGATGGCATTTCACAATGGCTCAACTGTCCTACTGGCACTCGATGCCCCAGGGAGAACTGCAGCAGTAATTACTACATAACACACAAGGAAGAACGAATTTCAGGAAGCTAATTGCTTCACCCCATCGTAATTAAATTGCAGGTCATTTTCTCACTGGTATTACTCTCAAATTGTTGCTCCCTCTAAAATCCCTCTTTCAGGAAATACTTATTTTCAAATTACTATTATTGTTATTATTATTATTTATGCAGCACCATGTGTGTGCATGGGACTGTGTAGAACAGTGACAGACTATTACCCTGGGCTATTTTAATTTCCAGATAGACATAAAATAGCAAAGAACTAAGAGGAGGGATGGAGGGCTAGAGTTGAGAAATGTTAGGCTAAACATCTGCTTCTATGCAGATCTAGATTCTGCAAATGTACACCAAAAGACAAGCTCTTGTATCTGCACAGAGTTTTGATTAACTCAAAAGAGTTCCACCTTTATGGCCCCTGTATTTGAACAGAAAGATCATCGGCATAATCAACCCCTAGCATGAAGTAAGGGGAAAGCAAAAACAACTCCCTTCTTTTGGGTGGGGAAGAAAAAAGACAGACCATGAAATCACCCAGTGCAGTTAAAGAACTCTTAACCTGAATCACTTACAATAGAACCATACTTATGCTAACAACTCACAGTACTTAAACACTGGATTTAAAACATGGGTCAGAGAAAAGAAAAATCCATCTGCAGTATAATTCCATTTTAAATACACCAATATTTTCAGAATCTCTTGAGAACCCTGTTCTAAGTTGAACAATTATTCCCAATTGAAGAGCATCAAAATTACTATTTGGCTACATCTCTAAAATAAAGAAGTATTTTGATACAATTTTTCTTCTTTTAGCCTTCCTTTTCAATTATAGCTTTTGACAAGCTATACATCTAACACTAAGGTTATCTGGAAGCTCAAAAATTCATAATCACTGTGCCCACGACTGTCTTCTCCTTTTTAACATGCAAGCTGCTTTCTGTCTCCCCAACTCTCACATCTAAAACAACTATTCAATGTTGCATGCTTTACACAATTATAGCCATACAGCAGCCATCCTGAAATCAGTTGAAACTTAAGATTTTTATTCCTCCCTGACCAACAAACTACAAGGAACAATAGTTAAGCATTTGGATAGATCAAAGTATCTTGGGGCAACTATAATTTACCCGGAAAGCTACGTACAGCTCAAAATCAAAGGAAGAGAAGCTAAACGCTTGGTAAGACTTGCTGACATTTCAAAGACTGAAACACAGCTCCAAAGCCACAATGAAACACATATTTTTAACTCCTGTAAGAAAGAGCAGTTGCCCAAGTCCCAGAATATCTACTACACTGGTTTATGTATGAGTACTTCATATTTTAAACCTTCTAACTCCAGACTACACCAGTCTGCCTCAGTGCCAAAGGAATCACTACACAGCTTCAACAGTTCTGCCTCCTCTCAATCACATTCCCTCCAGCACCAACCTGAGCTGCTCTGAACTTGAGTGTTGCAAATGAGAGACTGGCTGCAGCAGATCAAAACTTGCTGCAAGATAAATTTAACATGGCTTATGCTTAGAAAAGACACTGTAACATAGAAGATTTCACTTTGGTAATCCAGTTTGATATAACGTGACAAGGCTAAAACAAGTAATTAGCTGCACTAGAACCTCCAAACCACACTTTCTGCCATACTGTTTCAGAATATCTTGTTTTATTACCAGAATTAACAACTTTGTTATTAAAAAAATATTTGATCAAGAGTGAACCGACAGCAGGACTCAAACTTCTTTAAACTTTAAGAACTTCTACTGCTCTTAACCTCCATGGTATTTCACTTAGCTTATCAGATAAAACAGCAACAAAGTCTAAGTACCGACTGATACCTTATTTCTATCAGTCACCTTTGAAGATAATAAACATAAAGCTCTTGTGACTTGCCTAGAAATACTAACTATATTGTAGTTGAATGCTTTTATTTCTCGTCCCAAGTTCCAGAAGAATATAATAATTTGGGATCCTCTCTTCCACTGGATCATTCTACCATTTCCTCCTAACATGTACTCTGATCCATGGACAGTTCTTCCATAGGTACATGAAGACAGGAGGAATCACCTGCAACACTAAATGCCCTAAACAGCACAGTTACAACAAATAATTCTACCACCAACTCTTATCTCCTCCTGCAGATGGAAATACAGCTATAGGAAAGCCAGCTGAAGCTCATTTCTATATGGCTGAATCTGGAAGCAACTCTAGAGAAAGCATCCTCAACCAGTTCTGCACTTGTTTTTACATTCATAATTCCAAGCTATGATTAAAATACATTAATTCTTCTCATTTCACAAAAGCAATTAATGAAAACTTCCATAGTAATATACAACTACAGACAACAATAAATCAGTAAACACATAGCTCACTGATGATGTTGGAATTTCTGTTAAAAAATAAACAAAATATGCTCGGGATAAACAGATCATGCCAGTTTATCATTTAGAGCCTTTTCTTTTCAGTAACAGGACAGTAACCCCAGTATTATGCAGAAACCAGACTCATGGTGATTTATTGTGAGGGCCTCTGATTTGTGTTTTATTGCTGCTAAGACAGCGGTACATCCTTTAGCAACTTATTCCTCCACACCTTATTACCACCTTCCAAGATGACTGAGGTAATTTTTATATATATTTAGTTTCATACTTCACTGACTCCCTTCTACATCATGGGACAGAAATAAATCTTAACTCCTGCTTTTCTCTAGACATGTTAATTTAGCAGCTGATATGGCTGACTGTTCCAATATTTGTGTTACAATGCTAAGCAATAGTGCCAAGTGAAAGCTTGCCAAAAATAACAGTTTACAAATGGGGTGGAGATCAGCATTTACACCTGCTGTTTGAGCGTAGCAGTTACAAAATTCTGTACAAAAGGTTAAAAATCACAGCAGGGATATACTTCAGTGGAAAATATTAAGGTCTTATAAACTGAACACACATGTTAACAATGAGAGCCCGCCTCCTGTACTATGAAGATACCAACACTCTCTTCTTACTGTATATCAACTCTAACACTGCCTTTCATATAATATTGCCCAGGTGTTCCTCTGAACTGCTCCTCCCTTCTTATATAGTGGTACCTTGTTAGAACGCACCATGAGATAACACAAATGATATTCTTCAAAGCCACCTTCATCAACGCACTTACCAGAGAACAATACTTGGATCTATTTTTTTTAAAAACTCAGATGACTGACAAAATTTTTCTGAATGTCATCAAAGCTAGGAATTTGGATTGTGCCAAACTTACCAAGATCCAAATCCCATGGGTCTCCTATCATAATCAGGCAAGTCTGGAGCTATCTTGCATGCTTCTATGTTCAGGTATTTAAATATGTGAATTTTTCCTTTTATACATATCTTAAAAAAAAAAAAAATTACATAAGTATAATTTGACAATACATTTTCAAAGTACTGTACAGACATTTAACCTGCAGGGGAGAGTAATAAATGAGCACATTTATGTCAACGAATGCAGCTTTTCTTCTAATCTCACTGCATTTTAGAGAAACAGCTATAGTGGAGCATCACGGCATGCCCGTGATAGACAAATGTCCTCCAAGTACATCTGGTCTGCATGCAACTTTGTCAGCTGGATGCTAAAATTTCATCATGCAAACAAGATATAAGCATTCACAAGTACTAGATTTATACCCTTGGCATCAGAACAGATGCATCCCACCCATGCCCAGCTCTGAATGGCAGTGGCAGACCGCCAAAGCAAGCTCAAATTTAAAGTGAATGAAGCCAATAACAGCTGTCCTTGCTTTCAAAAGGGAGGCAAAACCCTATTGAAACTACAGGTCTTGGCAAGTGCCACTCTTGATTCAGAAGCAGCAGTGCACAGTAGAACCTGTAATACTCAAGGGCTTATACACCCACATTAAAAATCAAATTAGTCACTAACCATATTGCAGTTTCTAGCTCAAAGGCCAATTTGAGCACTGCTGCAAAGTGAACCAGCACACAGCAGCACTGAGGCCTCCGTCAAAATTTTGACATTTGAATGGCACAAAATCAGTCTTGCCTAACACAGCTTCCTCTCTCCTACAGTGAAAGTGGAAATCTTCAGCTAACATTAGTACAATGCTAACAGTGGAATTCTTAGTAATATCCCATAGGTGAGACTACTAATACAGTAAAGTAAGAGAAGAAAAAGGGATTTTTCAAGCTGTGCTGTATATTTAACACTTTTAGAAAGTACAATTTATTTTAAGTCCTCTTGTTCTTAAATAAAGTTTGTAATATAATCCTTCAACTGTTCAACTTCGTTCTGCCCTTTTTAGTTGAACTAGTCATCTGAATTCCTAGCTGCAGTTTACCTGTGCAGGGGGTGACTGGAGAGGGTTGTTCTCTAACATGATGGTCTGCAGATGTCTGAGGTTCCTATAACAAACTGGTATTGTTGTTATTTTATTGCAGGAGAAATCTAATCGAATCAAAGGCAACTCAGCGAGCTCTGAAGATAGAAAATAAACACAATTCAGCAGACTTAAAAGCAAGGGTATAAAAATGTGTTTTACAAAATAAGTAAGTATGCTGCTTCTAGCTCTCAGAGGAAGAAAAAGGCATTGAAAATAAAGAAGTGCTTGAAGTTTCTGCTGTTACGACTGACAGCCTTTATCTCACCTTCAGGTAAACGCACCAAATTATTTCTTCTGACATTTAGGTCCCGCAAGGATTCCAAATTGCCAATCTGTGGAGGTATTGTCTGTATTTCATTACAGCTCACATCCTACAAAGCAAGAGTAAAGAATGAGTTAGTGGTTTTGACATTACCACCACTGACTGGTAAGCCCCTTAACTAAAATATGTAGTGCTTTATTTAGGGACTGAAAGAAAAAGACAACTGTTTACATAACACCTCAGATCTTTATATTAATTAAATCTCACTGCTGATGTGAAGCATTATTCTCATTTTAAATACATGGGGAAATAAAAGCTTTAAAAGATTAAGCATTCAGATGTAGAAGTTTATTTCAAGTTACTTCATTCAAGTTACTCCATATTATTTGAGACAGCACAACTTGCTATTTAAAAGCTTTTTGCCAGAAACAAATGCACCAACAGCTCTAATTCCATCCAGCCTTCCTTTCAAAAATAGAGAATACTCTTCGTTAAATTGACATGGATCACTTGCTCTCCAGTGCAAGGCATCTTTCCCTCATGTAAAATTTTTTTTAAAATCTCAGAGTATTTCAAACTCTTTTCTAACACCTTTATACAAAGTCAAAACATAGTTGGAGATACTATGGCAGGTAGAAGTCTTCCTTAGGCTAAGAGCAGAATAACTTGCTATTGCATACAAGTGACTGGTTTACAATCACAAAGTCCTCAGCAGAATGAGAAACAGGATGTTGATCTTGCACATGCCCAGATAGCATCCTAATTAATGCATTATTTTGATCCGTTTAAAAAATTGCTATTTCTTCTGAAGCACCTCTGAACCTATTAAACACATGAATTAAAAATTAAAGACTGAATAGTAATAGTTAAAAAATAACTGTATACTCACAAGCTCTGTCAGCTGTCTGAGCTGTCCAATTTCTTCAGGTATTGAAACCAACTTATTATTACTTGCTATCAAAACCTTTAGTGGTAGACTACAGAGGTGTACTGGCAATGTTGAAAGCTGGTTTCGACTTTTTGGACAGAAAGAAAACAAAATCATCAGAACTCTAATGACAAATCACCTCACATCTTAATGCAATGAAAGACATAAAAAGCACACTCCATTTAGATGATCAACTCAGTTTTTATATAATTACTGTAAAAGTAGTTCCATGAAGTCTTTCTTCATTACTTGCTTTATCTAGTTATGTGTGAACAAACTCTGAATACCAAGTACCAAGCCTGATCAGATGCTTTCAAACTCAGTGCTGGGTAATAAGATATTTTCGTGCCCTTTCAGGTGCTTCTGATAACCGGCCACCCTCTGTCACAAATGGGTATGTCTGAACAGAGTGCAAAAGCCTTTCTGATAGGTAGTATTGCAGGTCAGCAGATACAAAAAGCCACGAAGTCACTACTTACTGAATATTTAAAGTATATTTCTAATTGAGTAAGTCATGCGGATCAAGAATCTTGGTATGATGGATTTCACTATTCCAAAATCCAGTCTTGGACATTTCATCATAAACTACTGTTAAAGCAAATATGAGGTCATATGACTGGACCGTAACCTCAGATGAGAATCTGGCAGGATGAAAATGGATTGTAAAAGAGAAAGATTCCCTTTAAAAACAAAACATAGCAAGGAGCAGTGACTGGATGATTAGAGGGAAAGTTACTAGGATCTTAACTAAGGCTTTGATCAGATGTCGACCTTTAGCAAAATATGCTGCTGTATTTTTCATGCTTGAAACCCAGATTTCCCTATTAAAGCAAAAAAAGAAGTTCTGAGCAGTAGGTGAACCAACAGCAGCTTTTAAAAGGATAATAATTGGACTGCACCTACTAGAGGTCATGGCAATAGGAAACCCACAGCTGATTCATATCCTATTCCTACAATTCTCACCATCAATAAAAAAAGAAAATAAAGACATATAAGCATACTAAATTGGCAAAAGTATAACACCAGAAGGAAATAGCCTGAAGTTTTTCTTGATTGATATCACTGCCAATTTGTGACAAGGAACTTTCCACACCTCTTAAAAGACCTTCTACAAATGGAGGATGCTGTACACAACTGAATTTCATCAACAGGCTAAGTTGCAGCAATTAGCTTTTAATGTTGGCAGAGAAGTGTTAATGATCAAGAAAGATCTTTAAAAGCCACCAGTACAGTGAAGGTAAAGAGAAATTGCATAAGCCTCATTCAGCTGCTGAGAGCTGAATTGTAAAGACTCTCCAAAAGCTCTATCCTCTCTTTTCAGTCTGCATGCCTGTATTTCACATGAAACTACTGCAATTTATTTTGCGAGTCCTTTAAGTTGGAATTAGCTGCCTTCTTCATACTCCACTTCTACAAACTGCTGCTTAATCCTCGTGTTCCCTGATCCACCTAAGTGGGTAAGACTGGTTCAGGTTGCTTTGATTCAATGACATACAATGTAACAACGTGATGATTACACACCATGTTAGCATTATTTACGGCTGCACCAAAATTTATAAACCTAGACTACTGATGCTAAAGCAAAATTTCTAAGACAATTGTTACCTGATATTTAGAAATGTTAAAGACTGTAAGTTCAAAACAGCCTCTGGGATGTATCGAATGCAGTTCTGGTACAAATTAAGACTCTCGAGGGAGACAAAGTGACATGCTTCTGCTGGAAGCTCTGACAGTCTGTTCCGTGACAAATCTGAAGGGAGGGAAAAAATAAACAGTCAGTAAAGCTATCTTAAAACTTCACAAGGACAAGTATTGTCTGTATATTTGCCATCACACAGTGGGAACAGTTGGACAGGAATCGGTTTTGCTGTCCTGCCTGCAAAATTTTCAAGATTATGAAGTGACTCACTTCAGACACGAAATAAATCAACATCTTTTAAAATCTTACAGCCACAATGAGAAAGAGAGAGCCAGATGCAACATTCCTTTCATAGTCACGCTTTCATATCCCAAACTGCCTTATGCTTACAGGAAGCTAGTTTAAGATGCTGAAAGCCCAGCTTCAAATCTCTCTTCCAGGACCATCTTTAGATTATGGAGTTGGTATTGGGTGGGCAGTGCTGTGATGAAAAGAATTAGAAAGTACTTTTCTCCCAGCCCCCTATTAAGGTACTCTCTGCTACATGGAAATCAGCTTCAAATTTCTGGTCTAAAATATATACTTTATACAGATACATGCATCTTTATAGGTAACAGTTCCAACAGGGGAAACACACCTTAGACACACACTTTAGACAAGCCTTCTATACGCTAGCCAAAGTATTCGCTCCTTCAGAGAGATACCAGTTCAAGCCTGTAATCTCAACTGGGCAAAGGAAGGATTTTCAATAAAGGGGTCTTCCCAGCTGCTGAAAAATGCCCTGCTTGCTGCTAGTGGTAAGGTTTACTGTTTCTTTGTGATCACACATTCCTTGCTTGGCAAGAGACAAAAGTTTAACCAAAACTACTACCAAATGTTTGTATTTGAAGAATCAATATTTTTCCTTAGCCAGTTCCAATTAGGAGTCTATATGTATAAGATATCCATCAGTATTAACTCTCCTTCAAGAGGAAAAGCTGCATTGTGATAAATAATGCAGTTGCAAAGGGTTCTTTTTTCTTTATTGCTTATAAATGCCAAAGGACAGTTCTCACAAACACACACTAACAGCTTCTTAACACACCCAGCTCAATTCTAACAGGAGTTATGCTCACATCAAGAGCATCTTGCATGAGCAGGGAGTTCCTATAGAGATACTGTCTGTTTAATAAACTGACGCTTCACCTTTACATTTTTAAGGGAGGGCAGACATTCATTGTAAAAACCCATCTAACCTGAATTGGTGTTGTGAATGATTAAAAAAAAAAAATCCAAATTTAATTGCTATTTTCTTTATTTGTTTTGAATTTCAGTTTCTCCTCATCAGCGTAAGAGGATAAAAGCTTCCACCCCCAAGCATATACAATAAACTGACATAGTAATTTCTGTATCTTTATTCCATGAAGGAACCATCCACTACAGCTTACTTTTTAAAGACTGCCAGTGCAGATAGGTCTTGTGTCTCTTGACATTTTTTATTTCTTTTTAAAAGGGAAGCTTTGCCAGAGTAAAAAAAAGCCTTCATCAGAGATATCCTGCCTACCATTGTTCCAATGTATGCCGCTCTAGGTTGCCCAAGGAAAAGAGGTCACTCCGAGTGCAGCTGGAACTGACTAGGTCTACCTCAATGCTTAGAACAAGCCATGAGCTACTACTGACAAATAATCAGTAATTAAAAATCTCAGTAGAAAGAAGCACTATGAAAAACTTTGTAGAGAAAAACCTCCAGATGTTCTTAAATGCACAAGTGGGAAGGAACTGCATTATCCAATCTACAGGTATGACTGAAGCTAACTGTAGCAGAGGCTATGATGGATCTAAAGTTCAGCAGATGTTGCAGGGTGCACACAGATAAGAAAACATGAAAATCATGGAAACTTCTAATCCACCGATACAAAAAGGTAACGGGGAACATAACAAAACTCCTTGTCTGTTCAGCAATGAGTATTTAAAAAAAATTAAAAAAAAAAAAAAATCACACTAAGTACTTCTTTCCAGCTTGTATCAGCCTCAAACATGACCTCAGCTTAAACTTGTCCGAACTTGATTTTGAAAACCCAACATTTTTAAATGAACATTTCTGACCAGCTCTAACAGTAGGAGCTAAAACTACAAAATAATAGAAATCATCAGAATTAAGCCTGCACTGCATATCTAGAGTTGTTTAATTGCCTTATGACAGAAAACAGTTCTAGAACTTTGCCCCTCTTTTCTATTTCTTGTGAAAGAGACAACCTCCCCCCCTTTTTTTTTCCTTCTAGGAGTGGGGAAAATCCAGCACTTACAGATTGCTAAAGACAGCTTCCATAAACATCCTAATTTTACCATATGCTAATCCAGATAAAACATCAGATAAATGTGTCAAATGCAAAGACGGACCACTGTGATGGATCCTGCTTTGGGCTATTGCTGAACGCGAAGTTTTCTTACCTATTTTTTAATTACTCAATACTACTTATTTTGCACAAGCCATCTCTCATAATACACTAGTCTGTCCTAGGGTTTCTTCTGCTTTACTTCCATAATTTAATTATCATTAAAGTTTTAGTGAAAATGACAGCAAACTCCAACCCTCCCCTCCTCCAAGTTGTATAGCTGCAGTAGATTTAAAGCAGAGTAATAGTGCTAAAACTATCCAACAATGTGATGTCCAAAACTGCAACATTACCAATGGGACCTCTCCTGTGCCAACTATGTTGTAAAATGCTAACAGAAGAGCCATTTCCAAACAAACATACTGTCCCAACACATATAAAAATGATGTATCCTGAAAAATTTCTAATAAGGGCAGCCAATCATAGTATTTGTAATCACTGAAATTATTTGCGATACATACAACTTGCCGTAAGGTTTCACAGTACAGTTATATGTTACCATATAAGAAAGGGAGAAGAATGCGAATTATTTCAGAGATGACTAGAAACAAGCAAGAGTAATTTAGAAAAAATACTTAGCTTCCACATTGACTAGATGTTTAAGCACCTATTTATTTTAAAAAAATTATTACAACATTGGTTCACCTATAAGGTGTAAGTGTTTTTCTTAGGGACTCTGGAGGATGGAACTGAATTGCACCACCTATCTCGCAATATACTAACATCCTTCAGCACACAGCTGTGCTGGCAAAGCCTGTTTTAATACTACCCGTTTTAACAAAGAAACAGGCTTCCCAAGTAATGAGCCATATTTTCTGGCCGAAGAGTCACAAAGAAAAAGTTTCTTTTGACTCTGTTTTGGAAAGGGTTTAACCACAAACATGAGAATTCTCAATTGCTTTTTGTTTCACTTTATCTTACCAGAGAACATTTAAAACCTAGTGTTTACATATTGTTCAGACCATAAGGCATGGGAGTACTAGTCAAGAACTTCATATATTCTGAGCTATGATTTAGTATTTCTAAAGAAATAATTCCCTGCAAAATAACATCAGGTATGAAGAAATGAAAATACATTTTAAACAACAAATGAGCTCATAGCATGACAGAAAAGAGACGCCAAAGCTGGTTAGCAGCAACAACTAAGTTTTTCCAGACTTCCCTCAACCTACAGTGATTTTTAAAACTTGGCATTTCTGTTTAGCAGTAGAAATTCAGTGGAAAGCAGACTAAATCGGAGCTGAATTTTGATGCTGCAGTGTAGTCTCTTAAAACATTCAGTATGGGTCTAACCAATTACAAGTTTGGTTAATAAGGTTGCAGCATTTTTACTCACATGATGGCCATGAGAATGCTATCTTATACACAGCATCCATGATGTTATGTGCTCGAATGGGGAGCTAAGAGGGAGGGTCTGCCACGACCATAAAAAAAGGCAAGTGCGTCGTGGTTTAACCTCAGCCGGCAACTGAACAACTAGAACAAAAAGAGCTATACCGTAAAACAAGAATACCTCGAAAATTAGACAGAAGCAATATATGATAAAATACAATGCGAATCCTGAACCTGCAAACAAAGAACTGCTTTCGGTTATTTGCAATCCCTGTTTTGCCCCCCTGCAAACTCCAGCAAGTATTTAAATTTCCTAAAGTCCACAACACAGCATCCCTAAGACTCGGTGACGTTTTTGATTTTGGCTGATTTCTCTGGAACCCTCCCCCGCTCCAGAAAGCAGACCTTAAATGGGACCAGAAACGGGGCAGAGTACAGCAGTCATTGTACGAAACAGTTCAACAACTCCATCCTCTTCCCCACCTTTCTCCTAAAAATATCTGAATGAAAGGAACAGCTCTAACAAAACCAGGAGAGAAGCAAAGAAAAAAGTACTCCAGTGGCTGGTTATATATTTACATATATGCTACCCTGCAGTACAGCAGTAGCTGCTGCTTTTCCAAAAGAGAAAGTGGGAGCGAGGTAAAGGAACAAAAACTAAGGTATTTTATTGAAATTATCTTGTAAATTAAGACTTGTTTTAGTGATATTGTTCTGCTACTGTATCCATAAAATAACTGCTCAAAAACCAGAAAACAAAAAGGTGTTATAGTACAAATTTTGTGCAAACTGAAATTTGTGCAAAGATTTCTCTCAATTTCTCAGAAAAATGACAGAATGTGGCTGTGAGATAATTTTTTTTTTTTTTTACAAATATTGTATCATGAATTAAGAAGCAATTGATAACTGTCAAATCAACCAAGGAGTAATCAGCATGATGCAGATTATTTGCTTTAATATGTACGTGCACACCCTCGCTGCCTGACATACCATAAAAAAGCAAAGAGCTAACGACTAATCCCCCCCCAAAAGCACAAACGCTGAATTTCACTATGAATAAGCATATGAGTGAAATATGGATATCATAATTTGAACTAGGATTGACTTGTTTGTGTTCACATTTCATGGCTTAAAATTACTGTTACCAGAAATCTGCTTTAAAAAAGGTTCTTCTAGCCTGCTAAAAATGGATGCGTTTCCTTGAAGGCAAGATCATGTGGAATTTTGGCAAAGGGGAAGCGTTCTTTGGAACTAAGCTCTTTGTGAAAGATAAAAAAGCCAACAGTACAAACACAAAGTGAAATCTCAGAGTGGAGTCAGATCACTGACCTTTTCCATCTTAATTGGGATTCCGTTCAGAAAGCCAGCAAATCCAATGTTAAATGCAACTAGAGAATACACTAT